AAGGCATTGTAAAGTGGTATTAATACTTCACGTGATCTTGATTCTATCCCTCTGTTAATGCAGCCCAGCACTGTGTTGGCCTTTTTGGCAGCTGCAGCACACTGCTGGCTCATATTTCAGTGATTGTCCACTAGGACTCCGAGGTCCCTCCACTAGGACTCCAAAGATTCTCTTTGATCAGAATGAACAGGTTTGTATATACATGTACTATGTATACAACTTTTAACTTTTCAACAGTAAAAGGAACAGTTGACTCGTATTTACCAAGAAAGTTTAGAGTAATTAAGAATGAACGTTTCATTTCGTTACATTCAATCCTGGCATCTTAAAGTAGAGCTATGCTTTGTTTTCAGTTGTGAGTCTTTTCCATTGGGCTCCAAATACTTAATTTTGTGATTTTTTTTCAAGAAAAAAAGCCAAGTCTTAAGTGTCCCATTCCTGATCTACTGTTAATAACGTCATGTGTATCAGCTACTAGGTAAAATGCAGAAATTATTTATATTATTGTTTATCCTGCAATTTCACAAATAATTGGTAGACAAGGCAAACATCTCTTGTATTTTGTCTGTGCCAGGAAAAAGAGTGGGATATGAGTCCAAAGTTGATGCACATTTATATTAAAATTATTATAAAGTCAACATACAGCTGCTGTGTAACGTGTGAATTGTAGCTGATACAAGAATGTATATTCAAGACACTTCCAGTGGGAAACTTTATAGAGGCTGGCTTGCTTCTTAATACTAAGTTTTGAATCTGCAGAATTGCTGTTGCAATTAGCATGACTGGGATAGAGAAATAGTTCAAAAATAGGAAAATATTTCATTCCAAAATACAACTTATATAAATCACTGATATACAAATATACAAATCACTGACAAAAAAAATATTTCAATTCCATTCCCTGCCCTATTTTTTAAAAAAATATTACTAGCAAAATGGCTTAGATTGTTAATAGATTTAAAGTTACAATTCTGGTATGGTTATTTCCTGTATCCCATAATTCCAATCTTAGCTTAATGTAAAATTTGTCTTCACAGGTTAACACATATAATCTGGGTGATGCATTTGAAGAGATTTCCCATTTTCAGAATTAAGTTATTCTCCTAAGTGTTATACAATTGTTCCTTACATGCCCCTCTCAATGATTCCACATCTACATTTTTTTCATGACTCAGCAAGCTGTATTTTATAATTCTGTTGTGAACAAGCCAAAGTCAATATGTATATGGTTTTGCTTCCAAGAGCACTGCTAATGTAACTTCTCTAGTACAAGTGGTAAGTTATGACCATAATTGAGCCCTGCAAATAAAGTCCAGGTCATGAAGATTGTAACACAAGTCATATGACCTGACCCAATGTCATGACCTGCTTTGTGACAGTCGTAACCCAAACACCACAGCCATGAAGCA